CTAAGTACTGTTTTTCTCTCCGCTCGTTATGCTCCCGGCTTGTTGTTGCTGGGCAGCAGCAGCCAGGGAGTTACGTGATCGGGGGGAGGGTGATCACACTCACCTGGAGTAGTCATTCGGGCCCGGGCTTGGTCTCTTGTCTGTTTGGCGTTCTTCTAACAAGACGTCCCTCTCCAGCTCTACCTGAGGGCCCTTATTGGAAGATCGTCTCTGTCGCTTTCTTGTTGTTAGTTCTGTGGAACTCTGTTCACAGAACATTGCCAAAGACTTAGTGATTTCGACTTGTACTGAGGTTGTGTGTCACATAGACACTCTGAGAAACTCAGGTCCTAGCTGTAGCTTCTGACATAATTTGTACTGGTATCTGTGTACTGTCACAGTCGGGGATTTTCTTATGCTGAATTTGATTCAATAGTATGGGGAGTTTTTGTGACTTTTGCGGAGGATCTGCAGAGGGTTTCCCTACTTAGTGCTGTTATATTATCTCTTTTGTTCCTGATTCTGTTTTTGCTGTTGCTTGTTATATTCCTGTTCGGTTTAAAACAGTCGTTTTAATGTTCAAGCAAGCTGTTCTGATTGCTGGGTTTGGTCAAGAAGTTAGTTTATGTGAGGATTTTTTAGTCAGTCACGGGTTAAGTCTAGTCGAGTCTTGAACATAGCGAACTACTTAGAGAAACTTACACACATACACACAAACTTACTTGTATAAATTTGTATTATGTTATTAAATGCTAACAATGTACCAGACAGTACTTAAAAGGCATAAAGATGTGAAAATGTGCCTTCAGCACAATACTACTGTACACGAGAGAAGTGTAGGAATTTGTATCCATATTATATTCAAATGATTACACGAAACTTTAAATTTACTTTGATAATAAAACGCCTAGACGACTTCATTGATATTAACCCTTTCAGGTCCAAGGCCCAAATCGGGGAGTCATGCCCCAGTGTCCAAGAATTTAAAAAAAAAAAAATTGTTATTTTTTCTTATGAATCGTAGAGAATCTTTTTGTGAAGGTAATAAAACAAAAGTACGAAATTTGGTGGAAAATTGACGAAATTATGCCCTCGCGAATTTGATGTGTCAGCGAAAATTTACGAATCGGCGATTTTGCCGACATTTGACTCCCATTTTAGGCCAAAACATTATTCCAATCAACCAAATTCTTAGCTATTTCACTAGTATACTTCTATTCTATCGATTGAGCACAAGAAAAACGCCAAACAAAAATTCTCAACTACAAAAAAAAGTGACCGGAAATTGTTAATTTTGGCCAATTTAACACAAAGTTCAAGATATTCCAATTTCAAATAGGGTCCAGAATAAACAATGTAGGTATTCCTGGCACTAAACTAACATTTCCTCTGTTCATTAGTTATTTTTTTGAGCTTTACAAATAAATTCCATTTGATTTTTTATTCACATAATGAATTTTTATTCACACCAAAAAATAGATTTACTGTTAGCAATACTTAATAATTGTATAAATATCATCACCATATTTGTGAATGTATATTAGACCCACCAGCTGACGTGTATTAGACGTGAGAGGTCGTTTGTTTACTCTTGAATATCGGCAAAAATTTTAACATTTCCGCTACTTTGAGCTCAGTTTCAAGCCATTTTCCATGCTAAAACCAATCAAAATCATCTCTATTTCTGTAATATGTCATCCATTCTATCAAATGAGACCAAGAAATCGCAAATACAACTATAAAAAACATACGAAAAAAAAACTGCAAATTTGCTGTTTTAATCAAAAAAATCATGATTTCAGTTTTTTTTCTCTTCATTATACACAGGGTGCTGCAGGATCTGTTTTATGTGGTGCACACATACCACATAGATGTATTCCTCATATCTAGGCCCAAATGTACCACTCACAGTTTATCAGAGTGAAACTGAACTCATGGGGTAGATCTACGGTTTGGACAACTCACCGTAAAGGCCGTAGATCTACGGACGGACCCTAAAGGGTTAATAAACTTATTTTAAATTTTAATTTCTTTAGTTAGTAGCCTTCCAGTTGTAATCGGGGAAGCCTATTGAATCCTACTGAATTCTAATGGATAATTGGACCAGGATACTGACTGCTTGTTACAAAAACCCAGTAACAGGCTGGATGCTAGAAGGACAGTCCTTTCTAGCATTCACTGGAGATCTCTACTTAATTTGAAATTGCATTATTTGTAACAACTACTACATTTTGTATACTACATAAAGAAATATAATTTGTTTGTTCATTTCTTTTTTTTGTTTAACTGTCATCACACTTACCTCAGAGTATTTGTTGACATCTAAATAAACATCAGTGTTTGGAACACGGCCAAGACTTGCAGCTCTAGGGTGCTGTGAGCGTCCAGAAGCACCAGCAGCGATGTGATGATGCCAATCAAGAGGCCATAATCAATATCGATGATGACAACACAGAAGAATGACATGATCCATATGAGGGCGTCAGCACGAGACACAGCCCACACCTTCCGCAAATCGTCAACTTGCAAAAACATCCCTTTCAAAGCCACCACAATAAATGGAAGATAGTACCACTGCCAAAAAAAAGGGAAAATATCATACATGTATCTTCAAACACCCTTCTCCTGTAGAAATAACAAAATGAAAAAAGAAGAAAAACTTTATAAAGTTATCTTTTTCAAGTCCCCCGGGCCTCATGGCAGACATTTGGTATGTTAAAAATAAATACTACAGTAGATTGTTAAAATCACATGGAACCCTGAAAATGCCAAGTTAGGTAAATCTGTGTTAGATAAAATGAAGAACTTATGAGAAAAAAAAGGGTTACATTCTTGGGAGCCCCAAAAAAGCCAAACTTTTTTTTTTTTTAACCCCCAGATCTTACAAAAATAAAAGAGAATATGTAAATGTAGTTTATCATTGTGATGTAAACATGTTGCTTTTACTTCTTAAGACTACAAAAGCAACAGAAATAATAGTGTTTCTTACCTTAAATTGTGGGTACTGGTGTTTGTGGATGGTTGTGAAGAGAGTGGAGAGTTATGCTGTGGTCCTACCTGGCTGAGGTGGATGGTAGAGGGTTCTGGTACTGAAGTCAATGGTTTGTACTGGAGTGTGCAAAAAATTCTGTAAAGGGTTTCTGTTCTATTTTACCCTTTCAGTACTTCCTTCCTTCCTGCCTCTCATACTTCTGTCATACATTCCTTCCTCCCTTCCCCCCTTCCTACCTACCTTCCTTACTTTTTCCCTTTCCTTTCCCTTTCCTCAAATCTCTTCCATCATACATCCTTCCTCCCCCCCCCCTTTCCTCCACCTACCTTTTTATTTCTTCCTTCCTTCCCTAAATCTCTTCCCCTGCCTTCTTTTCCCCTTCCTTTTTGGTTTTCCTGGCATTGCTTTTGAACAAACCCCCTAAAAAACAGAATTCATCTTCATTGACACCCCATCGTCTTAGAACTGTCACTTGGGAAACAAATCCCAATTTGCGGGGAGTGAGATATTTCTTACTGTGAGCAGGAAACAAGGCATACTGAAATGGCTTTTCCCTAATCCACCCCTGGCTCCAAAGACCGGGTTAAAACAGGTAAAATACAGGCCGGTTTAAAAAAAGTCTCCGGGCCCTAGGCTATTCAATTGGCGGGGCCCCCTTTGATTAGGGGTAAGCGAAGGACCCCCTTCCCTGGGGGTGGGGGGGGGGGGTGGGTGTGACCGTTTAAGGCCTATTTAGTTTAAAATTTTAATAGGGAAAGTACATAAAGAAAACCCAAAACTATTTACCAAACAGCCATTATAACATCTTTTTAAAATCTTTGCATTTTAAAGAGAATAAACTCAAGACAGCATAGATTACTAGATAAGCATAAAGTATAATCATTTACCTTTTATATTCAGCAAAACCACTAACAGCCATTACCCCTTTTAATAAATCACTGACCATTATTGTTATCATGCATCATGCATAAACATAAAAATCACAAACTCAAAAAATAAAAAATTTGTTTATATTCACGGGCACTTCTTAATAAATTTTTTTTCGGGTTTTCATATTGGCAAAATCATATTATATTCTAAAAAACAATATTTCTTTTTAAACAACTAAATGGTCAACAAGGCTAGGTTCCACAATTTTCTTGACTCTTTGTTGAACGGAGCTGGTTTTTCTCTCTTTCAAAAAAAAATGAACTTCTCCTTCACTTAGTAGCTGGAATGTTAGGAAAAGGGCATACACTATGTCAACTTTTGGGGAAGGTTTGAGATCCCTGCATTTTTTAAATTTTTTCAAAGCACGAGGGTGCCATTTTTCAGGTGGAGCATTAAATCGATTCATTACCCAGAAAATGAACTATTTCTTCAACAAAGTGTCCTGAACATCCTGAAAGGTGTTGTGAAATTTTAATGCGTTTTCCCAATTCGCATCGGGCATATAGTAATTTTAAACAGAAATTTCAAACTTGTCTTTGAATTCTGGTAGATTTTCTTTTTTTTTCACCAATTCTTAATCAGGAACCAGAATGACGAAGTTTTAGCGTCTTATATTTCTGCCTTGGACAACACAATTTCATTGTCTGGCTCTTCAAAACGTTTCCTTTTCCCTTAAACCGCGATGATCACCCGGTAACTGTAGTTTTTTCACCACAGTTTAGCTTTCTTTTCAAACATTTCAAAAGCTTCATCACTGCGAAGTGATTTAAAAAATTCCCACTAAGCCTGCATAGGGTTAGCACAATAGCCTTTTTCAATTTTCTGAAGTGCTTGTCGTGGATTTAACCGTTCCATATACAGTCCCAAAGCACACAGAGAAAGGCCAAATTCAAAATCACAAATTTTATGCTAAGCTGGCTGCTTTCTTCTTGAGTGCGTCTGGTTTTCATCCTCTGCTATTTGGATCAAAGCAAAACGTATTTCAGAAAGCTTCTTTCAAAGCTGTGTTTGCATCATGCTCGCTGCCCAACCTTGTTGTTGATAAGATTTGATGACATCTTCATGAAGGTTGATTTGAGTATCCCACCCCGATGCTTTAAGCAGGAAAAAAATTAAAAGAATGTTTGTAAAAGCCCAAAAAAATGAAACACAGCGACACAACACTCCGCAGGCACATACCCAACAAATAAGAAATGTGCTGAGCGGGGCACATTTTCAGCAAGTGGTTTGTTTGTTTGATAGGGGGCTTGCAACCTTATTTTTGCCCACTTTTACTTGAAATGTCGTAGCTCTGGCCAGGCAACCCGAAGAGAGATCATGTTCAAGCGAGTATCCAGACTACATTCATCATTTTTTCCCTTTGGGCCTAAAGAGGAATGAATTTTATAAAGCGTCTACAGGCTTACCCTGAGTCGCAAAGCGAACAATGAATGTAAATTTTGATCTGTAAAAAAATCTGGGTTGAATTACATTTATTGCAAATATTTTGCTTTTTTCCACAGCGCTATATGATTAAGACCTTCTTAGTCATCATTTTAAAATAAATTCATTGCATATAGAGATGACATGAAGATACAGTGCCTCTTCCTGCATTCCCAAGGCATGACAATGATTGCTAAAAGGGATCGAATTGTGCAACATTCTATGATCCAGGAAATTGCCATTTTTTCCGAGCCAAAAAAACCCCATTTTCCCACGGAAAGCAAGTCCCTAAGCTAAAATCTTACAACAGCAACAACCTTTTTTAAACTTTCTCCAATAAGTGCGCCTTTTTTTAGTTTTTTTTTCCAAATAGAATCCAATAAGCCTTTTTCTGTGCACAAAAACCCCTGGGGTAAAAGCAGCTCCTGTGATGTGCTGTTTTCATGTTTTCCTCGAAACGCTTTTGGAATTTTTTTCCGTCCTTGAACCCCTTTTGAAAAGGGATTTCTTTGGTAGAAAATAGCTTGCATGCTGAACATACACTTTTCCTGAGCTTTTTAGAGTATATCATCCTTGATCTTTTTACAGTTTCTGAATTTGCGCTTCCCCCTAAAAAATAGATAACTTTAAACGACGACGACTTTCCACACAAAATCCTTTCTGATTTCCCAAACAATGTTCAAGTTTACTGAAGTTTTCTTTTCAAGAAACTACGTAAGAATCTGGATTACATTTGGGGGATGAGGCGGCTTTTTAAGCAAATCCTGTGGAGAAAATTTCCGTTGAGACATTTAAAGAGACACAAAAAAAGTAGATGCTGGCGAGAAATAATGGGGGGAGGGGTTCCTGTATGATCCCCGACGTATCTGCAATTCAACTGTATATAACTCAAAACGTTTTCGTGAGCATGTCGTGATCTTTCTTTTTTTTTTTTCTTCTTTTTGAATTTTTTTCTTTTTTTTCTGTGACCCACCGCATAAAACTCCAACTCCGTTCCCCGAGATGCCATAATGAGGGTTATACTGTCTGAATCAGCAAAACAAATTTTTTTTTATCAATTTTCTATTAATTTTTTTAAATTTTTATTTAAATTTTTTTTTTTCTGTCAATTGGGGGGGGTATGGCCCTTGACCCCCCCTTTTCCTCTGGCTGCGCTCTAAAAATTCAAAAATTTCCAAAAGGATCAATACAAACTTTTACCATAATTTGGTTAGTGATTTTGGCTCAAATTTTACAATTCATTTTCCCTTTACTCCAATTTTACTTAAAAAAGAAAACATACCGAGTCCAAGAACAATGCCCCAATGGTATTTATATTCCATTTTTCAAAAACAAACAATCATTATGTTTTGCATAAAGGGGCCTTCCCCCATAAATAAGGACATGAAATTAAAAATGCAGGGGCAATTTTTTATTTTACCCAACCAAAAGATTTTCTGAGTGCTTAGGTTTTTTGGGAAATATGAAGAAATTAAATTTATTTCTACATCACTTCCATCGCAACTTGAAAACAAGCATTTGCACGGGAAATGATTAGAACACAATCCCAAAATTTAGACTGTTATTGAAAGATAAAGACTTAAAAACAGGACAAAGTGCTTTAAAACCTACAAACCGAAGTCAGTTTGCGTTTTTAGGTTTTCCTTTATTATTTTTACCAAAAATGCGCTTTAAATGGGCCATGCACCTTTACTGGTCAAGTAACCCATCAGGACCTCCCTTAACATTTAGAGGCGAAAACAAACATTTATCCATACACATCAATGTCTATCAACAACACTTTAGTTAATTTTCACAGTACAAGTCTAATAAGTGTAAAATTTCAAAAAAAAATTGGAGAGGAATCCCATACCACCCTTTACGGAAAAAACAGCGTTCTGATGAAACAAAGGGGTGTTGGGGTGTTGCCATCTATGGTTAGGTTTATTATTTTTTTTTAATTTTTTTTTTTATTTTTTTTTTTGTTTTTATTAATTTTTAAAAAAACAAATTTTTTCTCTCCAAACCTTGAACATTTTAGGTAGGGACCCCTTTGCACTTGCACCATGTCGCAGTCTTGGAGAGCCCCCGAACCCCCCTTAGACCGCGGGCCCCCAAATGCGCGGGCCCCAGGCAAATCCCATTTGTCTATGCGGGAATCCGGCCCTGTGTATGAAAAGAAACAGCTAAAGAAAGGGGGGAAAAAAAGTATTTCAAGAAATTATTTTAAATTTAAAAGAGGGGGGGGATG